GCCACGTCAGAGAAAGGGAGGATCAACGGCGATGCGGTTATTGCGGTGGACTAGGAAAAGGACGTGTGATTGGAGGGGTCTGACGTGGTAGCTTCCTTTTTTTCTATAATTTTAATGGCGGGGTGAATCAGGCCAGGCAAAAAAAGGAAAAAGCCATTCGTACCGACAACGTGACGTGTCTTTCAGACACATGGCTTACAACGCCACGTTTGTGGGGCCCAGTTGAGGTGGACCTTAAGCATTTGTCTTAGATCCGATCTAATTTTCCTTTTTTCTTTTTTCTTTATTTTTTTAATTGAATTATTATTTTTTATTGTGCAGGGGTCATAGGCCCAACCACAAAACCAAACTCCAAACAGGCCTTGAGTGTAAAAAATGGAACAGCCAAACACGGCCCAATAGTTGGCGGCAAAATCCCTTTCTCAATTTGTATGTGATTGACAAGTCCAATTCCTTTCTGAATTGTTGGATTGCTCTCTTTTCATCTGAATGAAAGTTATCTCTATTGACAAAAAAGAAAGAAAGAGATATTTAGTCATACACCTATTCTTAACACTAATAATATAGATAAATTCTATACCATTTAATTTCTATAAACAAACCAAAAAATGACAACTGGCCCTATTGAATTTAATTCTGATTATTGAATTACTTTGATGCCCTATTGTGTGTTTTGGATTTTTTTTATGAGATTTTGGGGTTTGGTTTGTTTTAAGAAATTAATGGCAGTTTTGTAATTTAAAAGAAGTTAAAAGCGTTTTTGTTATGTTGTAAATGGACTTTGGGTGTGTTTCTAAAGTCCATTTTATATCGGGTTCTTTTTATAATTCAGACTCCTATATTGGATATAATAATGAATCTCCCAAAAAATAACGAGTGTGATGTGGAAATTTGAATTCCCAAGTCCAACTACCATAATGCGACTTTTAAGGAGAAAAAGAAGAAGAAGATGAAACTACCAGTCTTCAAAAATGAAGAAGAAATCATAATGTGACAGAAAATTGTGGGGAGAAATTTTTGAGTGTGAGTGTAGTAGTCTCGCGTAGTCGATGTTATCAATTCACTTATAGCGTTTTTTAAGGATTTGTTTGAAATTGCTTAGAGATTTTTATGACAACTAAAAATGCTTTTGATGGTGTTTGAAGAATACTCATAAAAGCATTTTTTGAAGTATGTTTTTTTTTTTTTTTTTCAGAAATCACTTCCAAGTGTGAGTGTGAATGTGTCTATGTTTTTTTAAGAAGCACTTTGATTTTTAATAATTTTTTTGACGTTTTTCTAATAGAAGCACTTCTAAAAAAAGTCGCAAACGGGCCACTATACCTTCAAGTATAAATCTAGTTTTTATAAAGCTAGCCATTTCTTGGCCAATTCTGATCTTGGTTTCATTTCAGATTGAAGGTTACAACAAAATTATAAATATTTAATTCACAATACCCATTTCAACGAATGTCTTCAAACAGTCAAATGACATTGATGGGTTATGATTCCTTTGATACTGTAAAGTGATTAGACTTCACAACCAAGGCAAAAATAATTGACATAATATCAAGTTTCAGATATGCTGTGAATCTGTGATCATAATATTACATTAAAAAAAAAATGGAGTTAAAAAGAAAAGAGCCGATAAAATATAAATCAGAGTCATATCACATAAGTTTGGTATTCAAAATCTTAAATTTATCTACAACTACACGCATCCATGGACATAAACATTTTTCCAAATTTCAACCATTAACGACAAATAATATGATGGTATTAATTCAAAGTATTTTACTAATCAGAAATAATTGTCAATTTGTGGGCAACAAACATTTTCACAGCATGACCGACAGTACATGATGATGCTAAATTTTTGATGGGTCTGAAACTTGTATAATTATGTGGTTCAGCCTTTTCATACGACGCTTGTTTCACACAGAGTGAGTGGAGTATCAAAATCCCACTGAGAAAAATAGCTTTTGCATGCTCTGAGAAAGAAAAATGAGACTGCGTTTGCCAAAAGCTTGTGACCTGCAGAAGCTTTTGCTCGCAGGGATGGCAATGGTGGCAACTCTGAGTTTTTTAAGTCATTCCAAATGTGAGTTTGAGGCGATTTTCAATTTCGGGGACTCGAATTCAGACACAGGTGGGTTTTGGGCAGCTTTTCCAGCACAATCTGGACCCTATGGCATGACCTACTTCAAGAGACCTGTTGGTCGGGCTACAGATGGGAGGCTCATGCTTGATTTCCTGGGTAACTAATTCATACACTGTTTTTCTAACATTTATTTGTATTCAATCTTCTGTTTTTGTTTCCATTTTTCTTTCTCATCCAAACAGAGACTTAGTTTATTTATGTGCTTGTATTTGTTCAGCAATTTTGTCATTTGCTTTGATATTTTCCTCATCCTCTAGGATATAGGACATGGAAAGGCCCTACTTTGACAGGCCAGTAGTAGAGTAGGGTTGTTTTATTATAAGGCCACTTTATACCACTAGACAAAGACTCCAAGCTGGACAAAGTTTGGACTGTTTGGGAAACCCACAACTGATTTTCTATTTGTTGGTTTCTAATTTTATGCTTAAAAATAAATTAACAAACTACGAAGAATTTGTAGCTTAAGTGATTAAAAACATTTACCTATAATGCACTGAGTTCTTGTGTTCGAATCTATTGAACTTGGCAGCTCAAGCTCTAGGGTTGCCATTCATAAGCCCATATCTGCAATCGATTGGATCCGACTATAGACATGGGGCCAACTATGCTACATTGGCATCTACTGTGCTTTTGCCAAACACGTCCTTATTTGTCACTGGAATCAGCCCATTCTCTCTAGCCATCCAGCTCAACCAAATGAAGGCTTTCAAGACCCAAGTTGAAGAACACTCCTGGGATCAACAAGGTGAATATTGTAAACTCACATTTTTAAATACTATGTTAGATGACAAACAAACCCTTGATTTTTCTTAGTACTAACTATTTCAATTTATTGCTCCTTAAGAATCGAAGAGACTTCCGTCCCGGGACATTTTCGGGAAATCACTCTACACGTTCTACATTGGCCAAAACGATTTCACCTCCAATTTAGCAGCCATTGGTGTAGGTGGGGTGAAGCAATATCTTCCTCAAGTGGTCTCCCAAATTGCTGGTACTATCAAGGTAAGTGACTACTTTCATATTGTTTGGTCTGGGCCTACAACTCAAAATTTCATTAGGGTTCTTACTCCAAGGAAATCCTTAATAGAGATTAGAATGGCATACTCGCCCCGATTACCGGCTCTCATCCCATCCCCATTAAGTATTGTCCTCATTTATAAATTGGTATTTTTGTAATGGGGCGAGGTGGGGACCTATTTGAATATTACGGGTACGAAGGCAAGTATGGGGATGGAAATAACGACTTTGATGTATAGCCATATGTGTTACATTACTTAGTAAATAATTTTAATTACTTGAGTTACAAGTCTTTTACAATTGCATGCTAATCTTGAGAAACCAAAGAAAAAAAAACTATTTATGGTATAAAAAAATATAAAAAAAACTGTATAACTTTTATGCTGTGCTTATACTTTTCAAAATTTCTAGGAGCTATATGCCTTAGGAGGGCGGGCATTTCTGGTACTTAATCTGGCACCAGTGGGTTGCTACCCATCATTTTTGGTGGGGCTACCTCCTTATGAACTTGATGCGTTTGGATGCTCGATTTCTTACAACAATGCAGTTGTAGACTACAACAACATGTTGAAGGAGACACTCAGACAAACCAGAGGCTCTCTCCCAAATGCTTCCCTCATATACGTGGACACCTTCTCTGTTTTGCTAGAGCTCTTCAGACATCCCACATCTCATGGTATACCTCCCAACTAAGGTTTTGTCACTTAATTAATTGGGCTACATATATAGCTATAAACAAATATACACAATTCGTAATAATCGCTTTTATGATATATGACATGTTATGTTGCTAAATTGTGAATCAAGCACGGTTTTATTCTAAATCGATAATCCTGATTCATAATCTGATAACATATATATAGTATACCATGTCAATGTGAATTAAGTTTTGCTTTGTTTTTGAAAACAGGGCTCAAGTATGGTACCAAAGCATGTTGTGGGCATGGGGGTGGTGCCTACAATTTTGACCCTAAAGTTTTTTGTGGAAACACAAAGGTGATCAATGGGAGAACTGTGACTGCAACAGCTAGTAGTGATCCTTATAACTATGTAAGCTGGGATGGAGTCCATGCCACAGAAGCTGCAAACAAGCTTGTTACATGGGCTATCCTCAATGGCTCTTATTCAGATCCTCCTTTTCCATTTCACGACTTCTGTGACCTCCAACCTTTAAATTGAGCAATCTTTTGCTCTCAAACATTGGCTCGTCTGGTTTCGGCCCCCATAAGGTAAAATGATTTATTCAAAAGCAATAACGTAACTTTGTTTTCCAAAGCATATGTCCTTGATCAGTTTTTCAGCAGGGCCTTTTGTTGTTGGTTGACACTGGAAGCTTGTTCTTGAAAACGGCATGTGGAATCTTCGACTTTTTCTTTCAGTGTTCACTGATCACTGATGGAGATAGGTTATCGAACTATTTATTTATTTATTAAACCATGTCTCTTCTCTCTTTAAATAAGGAAATTTATTGATTGGCTCAGTGACTTGTGTAGAATGTGGTACTTTCAGTTTCCAATGCTGCAAAATGCAAATCATTTTCTGCTCAAACGACCTTAGATTTGTCTTTTACATATATCTGATGAATGTTGTTGACACAAGAGCCAAGCTGCCGCCCCTTCTAAACCTAATTTCAGCCAATCAAACATGCATGTATTCTTTGATCAAATTGAAGAACTGCTAAAGTACTGACTGACCAAATTTTGCACAACCCCATTTGGCAGGGAAATTGAAACTTGAAAATAAAGTTTCTGTCTTGACCAAAAAAGAAAATAAGGTTTCTGTCATCAGTCTAAAGTTCATGATTTAAAATAACTTTCACTATTACAAATTTGGATGGCAAAAGAAAAAGTACACAAGAAAAAGAACTACAAAGAAGATTTAAGTACTCAAGGAACATATTCATGTTCAAGATATGGTTGGGTTCTAGTCATTGATGCAGAAGGCATTTTACTTCTTCCAACCCAAAATGTATCAAAGGCCACATCTTTTTCAGACTGCTTCTCCATAGCTTTAAGTTTCTTCCTCCTCCATAACTTGAATGTGGCTATCATTACCAATCCCAGTAAAACCAACCCAAACACAATTCCAACTACAAACCCTTTCCCCAACCCTTTCCGATGCCTCTTTTTCTTCTCTGGAGTTGGCATTGGGGCTGGACTTGGTGCTGGCCTAGGCGGAGATGGAACAACAACGGAAAAATGGCCTAAACCATGTGTAATGCACTCATTTTCCTTGGTCATGTTTTTGATCTCAAAGCTCCCAGCAGCACCAAATTGGACACATTGTGGTGTCACATTTTTCCCTTGCACGGCATCAATATGCGAAAATCGGATTGTAATGGGGTCACCCTGAGTAGTGAAATTGAGCTTCTGATTGCCTATTGGAGTTGCATTTGGAGAATCATAAGCCATGAAGCCAACAACAGGAGCAACCAATGTGTAATTGGACATTTGGTAGTAACTTGAAGACCAATTGCCTAAATTCTCAAACACTATAGCTAGCCTTCTTTTATAAGGAATTGGTATAACCCTTGGTGGTATTTGAAATGAACTGAAATTTGCCCCTCTACTCCAAAACTTTGCACTAAGGACCCTAACAAATGAAGCTTCCATGCCAGAGAAATTAGCAGGGAGAGAAATATTGTATAGCGTGCCGGTATGAGGGTTCCTTAGACTTGTGTTTGCATAATCATGGAAAAAAGTGCTCAAGGACTCAGGGTCATAGCCATATGAGGCTTGCACAAAAGATGATGATGATGAAAATGACAGAGAAAAGATCAGCCAGAGGATGTGCCAGCTTTTGAAGAACTCCATCAATACCACCCTGAAAGTCTTCTTGTGCCTTTGTTGTTAAATTCTTGAATTGCAGCCGCATATAGCCATCTGTATGCCACACCCATTAAAACTCCTAATATTATACAAACAAACCTCCCACAATTCATAAACAAATAAAAAAAATCTAATCAAACCCACAATCTCAAAGGCAATAAAGAATCATCATCCTGCAATAAAAGTTCTGCAGGATATGATGTGATGCAGGCCCTGGAAATGAAAGACATTGGCTTTGGTTTGGAGAAGGTAAACCAGAATCACATCACCAAATGAATATTCTTCAAAATGACAGCCTTGCTAGCTCTGAATTCTTCAAATCGCATTTGTTCGTCGCGATCTTCTTGGAGTTTCCTAGGAAATAGAAGGCATTGGGATGTATTGGAGAGGGTGAGGGAGAAATGTGGGAGTAGAATTTGGAAGAGGTCTGGTTGTGTTGTGTGTATTATATGAAAATGGAAGGCCATGCTAGATGAAGGGGTCCAATTGAGTTGTTTAATATGTTATTTTATTATCACTAACTATCCCTTTTCTTTTGTTTTCTTTTTTGGGTTATATTTTGGTTGATAGTCAGTTGGGTTAGTTGGAGAGAGAGAGAGAGAGAGAGAGAGAGAGTGACTTGGGTTGCTCATGACAGAGGGTGCAAGCAAGGCCTTGGAGGGTTATAGCTCCACAGGAGAAAGACAGAAGCTCTGGACCCTCTAAAGTCTACAATTGAGCACTATTTTAGGCAACTGATTTGGGATCCCCTTGGTTCAAGGAAATTCAAAATAAAAAAAATAAAAAACAAGAGAAAAAATGGAAGGGCCAAAGACCCCATAGATGATTCAGAGGGTATAAATATTTGGTTTTGCATTGAGAAACAAAAATTAGCCTATTGGTTTCATGTTCATAGTGCATACAGCTGCATATACATTTCTTCTCTCTCTCTCTCTCCACCCCCATGTCTTTTATAATTATATGCAAAGGTTTAATAGTTTTATACACATACAATACAACTACACAAGGGAATCTGATCTGTCCCTTGATTTGAGAAGGGTCTTGTTGATAATATATTGCAATTGAGTTGGCCTTTGTAGTGGACCTAGTGGTTCTGGTTCAAATGTCTTATCCCGTCCTTAAAATTAAGGAACAGGTACGGATTCTAAGGTCCAACCACAATGATGAATAAATAGGAAAATAATGAGACTTGTTCTGTGAAATTTAATAAAATTGTAATTTTATTTAACAGAGTTGTTGCTACATTTAATATTCTTAATCAATCATGTTGGTGAGGATTTTATGACTTCCAACGTTATATAACATAGCCAAAGGGGTCTAATCTAGTAGAAAATGACCTTAACTTGGAGACCTTAGGTGGTCTTAGATTCGAACCTCAATGACATCATAAATTCATAATTTTGTGTGTGTGAGAGAAACACCCATCTCCTTAACTTGTACCAAAAAAACGTTATATAACATGTTTTTATTTTATTGCTAAAAGCATTGACTTTCTCAACTGTTAAACAACTAATATTTTAGAGCACATAAAACAGAAGACAAAAAAAGACTTCCATTTAGTAATGCCCTAGAGGAGAGGAAAAAATAAGAAAAATACATACAATGATTTGTAAATGAAATTTTAAAAACTGCAAATAAGTTTAAGTTCAAAATTCCATCTGTTGTCTATACTTCTTCCCCACCTCTACCATTTCTTTGTTCACATCATTTTTCTCATCACCATTGCAGAATTAAAATTGATAATACAGAAAGTCACCTGTCACCATTATTATTATTAAAATTGATCGTTTTTTAGACTAAATCATACTGACACTATCAATGAGTTATGACACTTAATATCACCTCAATAGTGAGAACATCAAAGGGAGATGTTATGGAAGGTTAAGAGCCACTTGTTAATTACAAGTTATCGGTGCATTAAAGTTTAATTTCCCGACTTACTTAAGCATTCGAAAATCTTTATTTAAGTTGCACCGATGTCTCTCTTAAGATTTTAAATTAGAGTTTAAAAAAAAAAAATTACAAGTGATATTGAGATAAGGGGGAATCGAATCTAGGACCTCGAGTGCATGAATAAATATTTGTAATCACTTGAGCTACAAGTCCCTTACAGATTAGAGTTATTTGGGCAATCATTGATCCAATTTGGAGTATCAACAAATCTAATTATAAAAATCATATTGAAAACCCGAAAAATAAAAAACACCTAAAAACCTAATGCATAGTTTAATACATGCCGGGTCTTGAAGGAAAAGTGATCACTGTCAGCAATGGAATTATTTCGGTTATTAATCATTATTGGGCCGTTTGATTATAATTAAAGATTGGTGCTTCCGTTGTTGTTAAGACTGTCGTATTAGTATATAATATTTAGTCAATGCATTGGTCAGCTTAGATGAGCACACAAGACAGAATCTCGGATCAATTGGATTTTTGAGCCGGGTGGGTCACCGACTCAATTGGGCTGTGGTTCATTAAGAAGCCCATCAAAGAAGCCCATAGTTGGCTCAATTGGGTTGATCAATATTCAATACATCATGAATAAAGAAAGAAATTGATAACAATTTTCTCCCTCAATATAATCATGGCCTAAAAAAGTTCGTATTGTTTTTTAAAAAAAAAAGAAGAAGAAGAAGAAAAGACCCAAGACAGAATCTCCGATCTATTAGAAGAGAGAAAGAGTTGAAACAAGATTGTAAGGTGTATGAACAAATGCTATTAAACATGTTGATTACAAGCTCTAATTAAAATGTTCATATAGTTGGAACAAAAAAGAACATTTCAACACCCCCATTATTCTCATCTCTCTCGCATACCCATTTTACGTTCTTTTTTATTCTTAGGTTTTGTACCAAACATGAACAAACACTTTTACAATCCAAATATTCTCCATAATAAGGGTTCCAAATCTTAATAGGGTGATACACTACCTCCTCTTTGTAGAATGTAAGTAATCTATATTACCAAGATATTGCTATGAACTTCTTACTCTAATCGTAGAAAACAAAAACGAAAACGACGTATTGTGTATACATACACTCGTTCTCTTTATTTCTTTCTATATAACTCTTATTTCTCTCCCAGTTATAAGAAATAGAGAATCTAATTAGTGGATTATTCATCTTTCACATTTGCAACAGAAGTTAGAATCTTTGTTCTTCATTTCCTAAGGAGAAAAAAGAAAAAAGAAGTATTGCAAATTAAAGAGAGAGATCACTTTGTATTTGAGCTTGAGAAAGGGAGACCCCAAACGTGGATTTCAGATAAATAATCATCCAATCAAAAAGGTTTAAAAGTCCACGTGTCAACTATCCAATGAGTCTGAGGAAGGAATACAACCCACCGAAGATAATGAGCGAACCAACACCCAACACCCAACACTTCGAGGAAAAAAATCATTTGCAAGTGAACAAAGCAATCAACAAAGTCAGACGGCAAGAGGCAAAGCAGCTGAGGATACGACTCTCTCTCAGAGTACACACTCAATATCATGGCAGCGACAGCCTCATCCATGGCGACCACCGCCGTCTTCATGCCGCGTCTCCCCGCCAAACCCACTCGCTGCTCTGCCTTGCCTTACCTCCCTCCTCGCCTCTCGCCCACCACATCTTCCTTCCCTCTTAAAGCCTTTCCAGGTACTACTTTTGTTGTCTTTTGTGTTTTTGTATTATTTTTATGTAGCCGGTTTTTGTGGGGTTTTCTTCAATTTTGTGCTGTTGAAGCTATGTGTGTGCTCTTTTCGTTGCGACTTTTGGCTGCTGATAAAATGTGGGAGAGAGGGAAACTTTTTGGGATTTTTGATTTATTTGTGAATTAATTTTGTTGGGTTCAATGAAATTATCAGCTAGCTGCAGTTGACTTAGTGCAAGTCAAGTATTTGCTCTGCTTAAGTTCTTTATGGATTTATAAAGTAAGAATTTTGATTCTGTTTTCTGGTGTTTTCCTTTATTTCTCCAGCTAATAGATGTAGGAGAAAGGTAAATAGAATATAAGGGCTGTAAATCTTGCCTCTGGTTCTTAAAGCACAGGTTTTGAACCTTGCTATTCGTTTTTTGAAAGTAGGGTGTTGATTGAGATGAACATAATGTCTTCTATTATGTGCTGATGGCATGAATGTTATTTGAGAGGCAATGATTAGGAGGGATCTGGTGCATTTCTGTAATACACTGAAAATGAAGGTAAGCTGAAGTTACAAGGAATGGATGTATCTGAGTTGATTATGTTTTCAATAGTCGTAATAGTCCCTTCTTTCCTTATAATGCGCCTGCAGAATTCCATCCTTAGTTTCATGTTGAACTCAGCCTCAATAGATTTTAAGGGTGGGAATATAATAGTTGGGAGTGTTGGAGCTTTTTGATTTTGAACATCTATTTAAATGTGTTGGCACTTTAAAAATTGTAGGCTTGTCGCTGATTTAGTACATTCCAAGTAAATGAACTAAAAGTTATTGTTATAACTTTCCATGCTCCAAGTCCACTTCACATACATTGGTCAGCCAATGATAGGAGAATGGAACCTTAGGGTTCATATTGTGAACTGGGAATACCACCACCGCAGCCAAGTGGATGCATATCTTGTTTCTTTGGTAGTTTCTGCGATAGGTGTGGGTATTAGCCCTTGGGGTACCCCATTCTGTGAAAAACCAACAGTCAGAGTAGGAGTTTCAATCGACCAATCTCATATATTGCTCAAGATTTGTTGCAACTCTGTACATGTAATCCAAGACACACAAACGAACATGACGTTTAAAATAGTTTTGGAGTGTGATTTTTTTCTCTCTTTTTGGTATGGCAGAACCCAAACTTGATTGGTCGCATTTATTTAATTCAATTTAGTTCATTCTACCTAAGCCGGACTAATTTCCGTACCCTTTTTGTTTTTGCCCTTTTGTGCATTTTGGCTGTTTGTACATGTGACTAATTGCTATACTTTTTTCCTTGTTTAATTGTTTTCACTATTTATTTGATATTTAGATTTGATTTCTTATAATTTTTTTTTTCCAATACTTGTTTCTCTTTATATAAGCTGTTTAAAATTGAATCAAAATTTTAAGCTTAAATAAGCATTGTTTTTCTTTCAAAGAATCCCGGAGGCTTTCTCTCCAGATCAGAG